TAAATTTTTGGTCTATATACAAACCTTCTGTACCTACGACTATATTTTTCGAGAAATTGGACCAATCTTTCCTTCAGGGATGCCTTGTATACATATACTTTCTTAGTTACTTATGAAAAAGCATCCGAGACGTGCAAAACGCCATCCGTGCATTGAAAACTGCTTTATTTTAATACGGGCGTATTTGAGATGAATATTTCCATTATACGTAGTGTATGTAAAATAGAAATACTCAAATTTGAGCACTTTTCACTTGATTACAACGAACATTTTTAAACGGTAATCAAATAAAAAGTTTTCATTTTTACAACGCGTTTTTTTCTCAATGTAGAAGTGATAGCTATTTCGGAAACCACCACATTTCCTCATTATACTTCTTTCAGTGGGATTCGACCCAACGACCCCAGCTGACTCAGCCAGCTGCCTACGCACCGTGCTAAGTTCGCCTTGTAAATTCTTGTTGCTTTTTTCCAATTTTTCATTTGTGAAGCCAGCTACAATCAAGCGCAGCTATTATAGTGCTATTTAAACTTGATCATGTGGTTGTTGGTTTTGTTGGCTTTTGTTAATAATTCTACTTTTAAAATGTTTAACTTTTAGGTGTGCTCGTCCTTAAGTTATTTGTTTTTGTTATTTTATGACCTTATAACTTAAGGACGAGCGCACCTAAAAGTTAAACATTCTAAAAATAGAAATATTAAAAAAAAACCAACACAACCACATGATCAAATTGGCTTCACAATCGAAAAAGTAGAAAAAAGCAACAAGAATTTGCAAGGTGCACTTAGCACTTAGAACGTTTAACTTTTAGGCAACAAGAATTTACAAGGCGAACTTAGCACGGTGCGTAGGCAACTGGCTAATTCAACTGGGGCCATTGGATCGAATCCCACTGAAAGAAGTCTGATGAGGAAATGTGGTGATTTCTCAAATAGCTAACACTTCTACCATTTTTTCAAAATTGTTGATGCTTTTCCTCAAAAATTTTTCATTAAAAACGGCCTCAAGCTCAATATTTCACATCGCCTACTGATATTTAAAAAAAATATACTATTTTTAACACTTTAGATACTAGAATAAATAACAAAATACACGTAAATTCTACCTGTTTAATATACAAGCAAAAATGCAGGTTCAAAAACGAGGATGTTATCAATTCGTCGAAATATTTTCTTTATGTATGTTACCGCATAACTTTGCACCACATGAACCGATAATTGTTGTTTTATCGGAAAAGTGGTATCTCAAGGGTGGTACCATACCAATTGGGTTAAGATCCTATCATTGGATCACGAAGACATTAACGGTACTCTTAAATTATTATACAATAATTGAAATGGCTTGTGTGTTTCACTTGAAACTAACCTGTGTCACTCTACTTCCGTTGCAACGTTGCTGTTTTCTACTTTACAAGTTTTTATTTAACTTACTCTGTATTATTTTTTTTTTTAAGTAGGGGGATGCATCGAAAGCCGGAGTGTGAGCCTTCACCCGCTAAACCTAACCTAGTCCCTCCTAAAATCACTCCTACGGGACCACCGATTAAGCATTACTTCATAGGAGTGATATAGGACAATTAAATCCCCTCAGTATAACGGACGGACTGACGCCTAAGATTATCTGTGTGTCGTAATTCAGGTCATAATAATAGCTGACGCTGTATCGAATGAAACAATTCATTTATGTTTTAATTGTATTGAATTTATTTTACTGAGCAACTCAATGTCGCTTTGTAGGTTCTTTTACAATTGAATTCTTAGCCTAACATATTGGGGTATTTATGGGAAATAATTACTGCATAAGCATAAATAATAATTGCTGCATAAGCATAAATAATATTATAAATAAATTGAAGCTTAAAGTTAGTTTGTTTGACGGTTTGGCACGTGTGCCTGACAATGCGTGAGTTCTATATTCAAAATATTCAAACAACTGAAATATGAAACCCTTGTTGTTATGAATAAATTAAATAATTATAAACGTTAAGCATGGTCGACTTTCAGTTACACTACAACGCATTCCAGACAGCTTTCAAAATTTACAGAGGACTGACAAATAATAATAATAATAATAGATTGGCGCTTACACATATGTTAGTGTTTGGCCGAGCTTTTCCTCCGATTTGTGGCGTGCGCTTTGATGTTGTCACACAAAGCGTAGGGACCTACAGTTTTCCGCAGACTCCGAACGGCGATTGTAATTTAATGAGAAGCTGTTCTTCATGGCAGAAATACACTCGGAGGTTTGCCATTGCTTGCCGAGGGACGACCGCTGTTAAGAAAAAACCTTTTTTCTATATTTTTGCGATGTTGCTTTGACCAGGGTTTGAACCCAGGTGCTGCGGAGTGGAAGCACGTTCTGTTTACCACTACACCACAGCGGCCGACGGACTGACACATAAGTGCAGTCAAATTTTCCACCATGAGCTTACTTTCTAGTGCATTTTTTAAGCTATATCTAAGATTTAAGAAACGTAGGCAACATAACGTGCTCTGCATTTTCTATGACTTGGGGGCAAGTCGGACAGTATGGACTAGTGTCGTATCGGAATCTATATAACTTATCCCTAAAGCAACCGGCAAGCTAAGGATCTGCGTTAGGTGGAAATTGAGGTCTCCGTGTTTCCTATTTGTCCAGTTGTCGACATTAGGTATCAGTCTATGTGTCCATCGACCCTTTGATGAGGTTTCCCATTCTAATATTCGTCAGCAGTTTTTTAATATGGTAGAGGCGGGTTGCTTCGCTTGCTTGGATATCAA